TCCCTCTTTGTTCCCTTCTTGTCTCTCCACTGAGTTTATGAAATGGAAGAGTTAATTGCATGCACTAGTGTTTGGAGGGTGTTGTGGTTTGTCTTTCTAATTAGGTGTATAGCCTATTCACTTTCCTAGAATAAATCTCTTAACCTAAATTTGAATAGAGTCTCCATTTTGGCAACTCCTCTAGCAGTTTGGTAGCCCAGTCAAGGTTGTTTCAAAAAGGTGGGAAGGAGGAGTGAAATTTATTAACACGTTTGCCAAATATATTGAGATTTGGCCTTCGAAGAACAGTTTTTCAGTGTTAAGTTGTCTTTACCTTAAGATTTAGAAGTACTTTAGAATATTATTAATTTTAAGTCCTATCTTCACATCCCTTTGGAAAACTTGTATTACCATGGATTTGGAAAAAGGACAACAAAGGCTTTTCATGTGAAGATAAGATACTGTAGCTCTCTCTCACCCTGTCATTTTTTCACTTCATTTTTCTAGTTTTGCTTCATTGCTTATCATTAGGATAGGGTAAGTTAAGTTTGCTATGCTGCTAGCATCCTAAGATGATACCTTTGTTGAAATAATTGTGAATAGCATGATTCATTTCTAGCAGAGGCTGAGTTTAGGACAGCAGCTTCCATTGAAAAGTCTTCTTGTGTCGTGGATAGCATTTTAATGACCTCTTGGCTCACATAAACAACATAGGGACGTATCTGCTATGAACATCCATGAATTTTCAGATAGTGCCCTAAAAGTGATTTTATATGCCTCACTGGTGGTTGTTGTTAGGTTTTTTGCCTCACTTTATCATTGTTTACTACTAGTAAAAGCAGCATTGCCAAATAATCCTTAATTTTCCATTAAAAATAATAATGAAATCATGTTAAGCTTCTCAGAAAGTTCTAGGTTAAGCCTACTGTTGTTAGATTAATTTTAATGTGTTTGTTGCTTTCCTTTATCTGGAATGTGGCAGTAGCTTTTTTTATTTTTAACCCTCTTTAATCCTTACTCAGTTCAGTGACTTAAGGTTTGAGAGCTAAACACTGGGATTTTTGGGTAACAGACTGACAGTTTTGTTGTTTGCATACTTATAATTGGCATTGTACATAGAAAGGATATGGCTACCTTTTGTTAAATCTGCACTTTCTAAATATCAAAAAAAGGGAAATGGAGTATAAATCAATTTTTGTATAACCTGTTTGAAACATGAGTTTTATTTGCTTAATAATAGGGCTTTGCCCCCTTTTCTGTAAGTCTCTTGGGATCCTGTGTAGAAGCCGTTCTCATTCAACACCAAACAGTTAAGTCCATTCTCTGGTACTAGCTACAAATTCGGTTTCATATTCTACTTAACAATTTAAATAAACTGAAATATTTCTAGATGGTCTACTTCTGTTCATATAAAAACAAAACTTGATTTCCAACTGCGTGGCTTGGTTTTCATTTATTTATGGAGTTTAAGATGGAGGATTCCTTCTGAAAAGAGTGCAGAATAGCAAACTGGATATTAGAGGAGCAGAAATAGAAGGAGAATAACTTTTTCAACTAAGGAATGCTGGGAAGGCAATTTCAAGGGCTATCATTGGAAGAAACTGCATTTTAAAAGCAGAATCATCCTGGCATCAAGTGCACAACCGTAGTCACTCCCCAGCTAACACTTGCTAGAATGTGCCAGAGGCCAACTACAACTGAAGTCAGCTGATTACCCAGGGGCACCAAGGTAAGGCTGCCATGCTGGAGGATGAATCCTTGTTTTAGCAGTGACTGTCCTCTTATCTGAAAAATGTAAAGTGTTTCCTACCTCTTTTGTGAACCATAAAAAACAACTTTGGCTTTTTTTGTATGTAGTATTGATGAAAGAAATGTTTGATCCTGTATTAAGGCCTTATTAGTCAATAAATAAAGATAAATACTTGTTGACGATTATCTCTGCTGGAAGGATATATAGAGGTTTTCTCATAGTGCAGTTTTTATAAGGATCACCTAGAGTGATGTTATGCTTCCCCGTTCACTCCCATCAACACAGAATTTTGTGTCTCGGGTGGGGCCTATGATTTCTGCCTTTAAGATTGGTATAGGAAAACAGACCATGGCCTCTGCCCTTACGTTTATGATCTAGTTCAGAAAGTAAAAGGAATTAGTGATCAGGTAAACATATACAAGAGCCAAATAGTTGTGATCCAGATTTAAGTGCTGTATTAATAGAAGAGCAGGTTCAGTTGGTGAGTGTAGTTGGGGTGGTGTTTGAGACAGGAGGGAGGGACATGAATCCACATATCCTCAGATATGTGCATTGAATGGCTAGGGCTAAGGGGAGGTTAAGAAGAGACCACGAGCACATTAGAAACAAGCTTTGCTTGTGTGGCAGACTGTAAGTCCAACTGGACAATGTGATAGGCAATAGGAGTCCTGGTGAGCCCTGCAGAGTGGTGAGAGCAGTGTGTTTGAGGAAAGCGAGTCTAGGTGGGTTGGAAGAGGAGAAACAAAGGTTCTAGAGATCAGACAGAAGGTTGCTGAATTATTGCGATTTGAATAAGACCAGACTAAAATGGTGGCAGAGGGCAGGCTTAATATACAGGGGAGTATGTGAAAGAGAAAGACTGTCTCCTGCCTACTAGGAAGTGGATTAGGTACTTGTGGCACTGCTCTTTGGGTTATGTCATCAACAAGCTGGTGAATTAGTACCATTTGTACGAAATAAAGTGTCTCAGGGTGAAGTAATTTGCTTCAGGTTGCGCTGCCACTTGGTGCTGGAGTTGGAGTTTGAAACCAAGCCAGTGCTCAGTCTATTTTCACCTTCTCCATATCACAGTTTCTCAGGATAAGGTCCTAAGGTTTGGTTATACTGATTATAATGGGGGTAATAAAACAAACGTGTGCCAGAGCCAACAGAAAGATAGAACACTGGAGTGTAACCTTAGCTTATCGAGTTAATGTAGCCGTTTAGTTTAACCTTGGTACCTCGAACAAAGAACAATGCCCTTGAAAAGTACTTAGCACAGTTTACTACTTTTTTTCTTGAAACCTATATTACCCCTTACCATCTTGTTAATTTTGTTTCCTCCTTCACACCATCTCTTGGCTAGCAGTAAATGATGATGAAGTTGCTTTTCACGATGCTGTTAATTGGCTGAGGCTGTATACTTTGAGGGGGACTTTTGATACTTAATAATGGCCACAGCAGTGAATAATAGTAGTGAAATAAGTCAAAATACGGAGGGGGTGGGGAAAGGCAGCTGGGTATAAGTTCATGCCAACTTCCTAGGTGGATTTGAGATCAGTATGACTCCCTAAGATTGAGAGTCATGTAGGGGATGTGAGTGCTCCAGGTCAAAATGTTTTGCTGGGACATAGAATTTAGGTCTGAAACTTTCAGCACCAAGATAAAAAGAGGTGGTGTGTTCTTGTTGGATCTAGTCAAAGGGAGAATAACAGTTGCTTAGGAAAAAATCTGTAGCAAAAAATTCAGGAACTCCTAACATTAATTGTCATTGAACTACAAAGTGGAAATGTCTCCAATGCAAGTTCAGAGAAATCCAGACATTTTATGTATCTTCTGACAACACAATACTTTCTATGCTGAGGCCATGCCAAAAAAAAAAAAAAAGATCAAACCTCAGGTCAAACTTACCTAGATCCAACTACCAATTTTACAGGAAATCTAAGGACAGAGGAATATGTTAAACTACATCAGTCAACAAAATCCAGACTGGTAAATTTTACAGGATAATTGATCCAGTCTCTTCAACAATTAAGTTCCAATGGAGAGAGAGATTGTAAATTAACAAAAGATGGAAAGAAAAAAAAAAAACAGGCAAAACTAAACCTTAATGTGTTTAGGGAAGTACAGAAATAATATAAGGAATATTAAGGGGCTTCCCTGGTGGCGCAGTGGTTGAGAGTCCGCCTGCCGATGCAGGGGACATGGGTTCGTGCCCCGGTCTGGGAAGATCCCACATGCCGCGGAGCGGCTGGGCCCGTGAGCCATGGCCGCTGAGCTGCCGCGTCCGCAGCCTGTGCTCCGCAGCGGGAGAGGCCACAACAGTGAGAGGCCCGCGAACCGCAAAAAAAAAAAAAAAAAAAAAAAAATTAAGAAAATGATTAAAAGGGAGGGGTATTCTTAGGGAGGGAGGAGTTATACATTGTAGGGGGACATGAAGGGTTTTGGGGATAGCAAAATCCTATCTTATGACGTGGATGTTGTTTACAAGGGTGTTTGCTTTATAGCAATACATTAATCTACAAATTTGTCCTATGTGGGTTTTAAAGTTTGTATTATATTTAACCATAAAGGGTGCC